GACAGGGCCTTTTCTGGAAACATCGAGCGTCAACACGACTGGTCGAGGATTTGCATTAAGTATAGCTGTATGTTATATTTAATATTGTATACATTGACAAACGTTATTTGAAGAATAATCATGACAAGGACGTTGTGGAGAAACGTCGTAATGAAAATTGTGTTAAATATAAATATTAGAAGTGTACTTATCTTTGATAGAAATCTGGTCGGTGGCGATAAAGTTGTCCGGTCCTCGAGCTTTTCGGCTTGTTGTGATGGTGGTCGCGGTTGTTATAGCGCCGTTCTTCGCGGCGATCATCATTGGGACGTGGTCTGGTGGTCGATGTGGTCGGAACTCGGCGGAGCCGCTCGGGACGTGGTCGACGTGGTCCGTGGTCGGAGCTTGGCGGAGCTGCTCGGGACGTGGTCGACGTGGTCTGGTGGTCGGAGCTCGGTGGAGCCGCTCGGGACGTGGTCGACGTGGTCTGGTGGTCGACGTGGTTGGACCGAGTAGTCCAGGTGATGTCATCCTTATGCCTCTAGACGGCCGCGGCGTGATGTCCGGGTGGTACTGAAGATGAATTGTTGATCCTGGTGATGATCTTGGCAGAGTCCAGGAAACTGGGCTAACCTGCAGTAGTAGTACCTCACGTGCACAGCAAGCTGGATTGTTCTGTACGTGAAACATGCACACGTACATGCATGATTATCCTGCATGCCTTTTTCAATCTTGCTCTTTCCTTATTGGCTTGCAATCAGCAGCGTTTGGTGCCATCGTTGCCACGTGGAGCCGTGGCGATGAAGGATGCCGAGCACGAAGACATCCGTGGCCGGCCCCAACAATCTTCGTGTTTGATCCATCTAATTGTTGCCGGAGACGTGTTGACGCAGGACTCCGAGTCCTGTTGCGCGCAGCCACGAGTCGCTTCGTGACGCTGAGTCTGAGGTCGTCGGCGACGGAAGCAGACCGCGATGCACAATGTCGAGGGACGCCGGGTCGCCGCCGATGTCGTTGATCTTGAGGTATATATGCCACCTGGTTCGCCATGGATCAGCACACACACACCCTACCTGGCGCACCACTGTCGACGAAATATGGTCGGCAGTCCACCGAGGGGGTGCCCGTGGTGGTAGATTATCGGTAGACGGTGCGTGTAATTAGGAACCAGATGGTGACACAAGGCGCAGAGACAGCGATTTAGACAGGTTCGGGCCGTCTGGTCGACGTAATACCCTACGTCCTGTGTCTTTGGTGTATTGTATTGAGATGTATATAGATTAACCTGTCCTCTAGGGGACCCTTGTCTCTCCTTATATACTCCAAAGAGACAAGGTTACAAGTAAAGTTTCCAATTTGGTACTATTACAATATCTAGTACAACTTGTAATCTTGATGTGCACACCTTGATCTTACGGGCGGGGCCACCTCGGATGGTGCGGCCCATGTACCACCTTGTGGTACCTAGGGGTATATCCCCCACAGTGCCCCCGCCTCCATCTCCTCTCCCTCACAGTGCAGCGTCCCCTCCCTCTCTCTCTCTCTCTCTCTATCCTCTCCCTCCGACTGCGCGGGGCCCACCCAGGCGAGCGAGTGAGGGGCGCGGCGGACAGGGCTCCTCACCCGGCTCGGCGGCACCCTAGATCCGGTCCCGACGGCGACGGCGCGGGGGACGGGGCCTCCTCCCCGGCTAGATCCGGTGGCAGCGCGGGGGAGCCACCTCCCTCCTCCCTCCGGCGACGGCGCGGATCCGGTGGCGGCGCAGGGAAGCCACCTCTTTCCTCCCCTCGATGGCGGCGCGAATCCGGTGGTGGCGCGGGGAAGCCACCTTCCTCCTCCCCTCGGCAGCGGCACGGGGACGCCGGATTCGGTGGCGTCTCGGCAAGGGGACGCCCCATCCGGCTCACGTCGGTGGCGCGCGGGGATGCGGCGGCGGTGGTGGGGCCGCGCGGAGCAGGCGAGCTCAGTGGTGGGCTCCGAAACGTGCTCGCCGGTGGGCTCTGGGCTTTTTTTGTTTTTTAATCCATTAATGGAGGCGGGTATTTGCAAGGCGCCCGCCTCCGTTAATCGATTAACCGAGGCGGGCAAGGCAACCGCCTCTGTTGTTCACGAATTAACTGTGACCTTTTGAAGGAGACGGTTGCCTCCGCCCACCTCCATTAAGTTTATTGTAGTGGTGTGAAGGGCCCAATTGACTGTGCTGTGTTGCGTTAAGATTTGTATTACCCTATTGATTCTAGTGAAAATTACGGGTTCTATCTTTTTGGTCGTTTGATAAGAGGAACGACTTAGTAAAGACTCAAGACCTTTGTTATATCCTCATCAATGAGAACACATACACACCTTAGTAGGGTGGCCGAATCTCATGAAAAATCCCAGTGTCTTTGTGTTCTTAAGCTTGTTTTTTTTTTTTTGACGAAATGTTCTTATGCTTGTGACCTGTTGCCCTTTATTATTTGAACCCAATCTACTTGTTGTGAAGTTCTAGACCGAAACTATCTCGTGGAGCATGTCAATACACTTATCTACATATGTGGTAAACATAGATCTAAGTTTCCACATCAACACACTTCTCTATATGTTATTCCTTAATAAAAAAAAAGTTTCATTGGTTAAATTCATAGATCGAGTAGATCTTTCCTCGCGGGCCCGTAGAAATTCCGGTTACTAAAAGAATTTCTGGGTAGGTCCAGAATTTTCAGCACTACTTGTAAATCCGCTATAAAGTTTTAAAATTTCAGATTTAGCCGATTCAACCTCTTTTTAGATATCTATATTTCAGATTTAGCTAAATCTGAGTAGTTTAGCATATACGGATTAAGATTTTCAGCCATTGCCGCACTCCTTGGCGCCAACGACGTCTGCCACGGCGACATGTTGAAGTGGTTGGCGTTGCAGACTTGCAGTCAATGGTCATGATACAAGCTGAAGTCGTTGCAGACTCTAAAGCACTTGCCGCTTCCACGCTCTCTTTCATGTACAGTTGTGTGTGAATTGGCTTTGACGGGTCTCTCTCTCTCTCTCTCTCTCTCTCTCTCTCTCTCTCTCTCTCTATATATATATATATATATATATATATATATATATATATATATATATATATATATATATAGAGAGAGAGAGGTGAAGTCCAATTTACACCCTTTAATTTTCATCAAAGTCCGGATTTGAACCTCGAACTTCAAAACCGGACAATTTTAGCCCTCCAACTCTTGAAAAAGTTCAACTTTCTACGGTTTTGTGGGTAAACAGTAACTTTTAATATTTTTGGAAGGCGCTGAAATTTTATATTATTTTTTCGAGCATCTTAACGTCCTCAAATGAAAAAACTCAAAACTACAAAGTTGTAGATCTCATCGAGGTCTACAATTTACATATAAAAATTATCTTCATCCGACATCGTATTGAAGAGTTTTCTATTTTTTAAAATTTGAATCTCATCACGCGATAAAATATGGTGTTGAAATTTTATATTATTTTTTCGAGCATCTTACTGTCCTCAAATGAAAAAAATTAAAACTATAAAGTTGTAGATATCATCGAGGTCTACAATTTACATATAAAAATTATTTTCATCCAACATCGTATTGAAGAATTTTCTATTTTTTGAAATTTGAATCTCATCACACGACACGTATTGAAGGGTTTTTATTTTTTTAAATTTAAGTCTCATCACGCGTAACAATTTTGTCGCCGACCACTGCAACTTGTGAGAGCCTTTTTAGCTTTTTGATGATGCCAAAGGTGAAGTCTCAGAGCTTTCAAGAAGCACTCCTTCCGTTCTGAAAGGACCATTATTTTAAAAATGAATCTGAACAAGTGTCCAAATTTATTTTTAAAACAACGGTATTCTCGAGACAGAGGGATTAGTATAGGCTACAGAGAGACAGAGATTCAGTTTTAGTGCGCTGGGTTTAATGGTTTATCCGCTGCGGTGGCCGATCCAGACGGTAGTGGGCCTTTCCGCCGGCGACAACGACGTTCGCTCCCGCAGCGGCGGCGGCAACGAATACCCCTCCCGGTGGCGCCGGAGGCTGCTCCCGGCGGCGGCCCCTCCCAGCAGTGCGGCGGCGCCCCCTCCCGGCAACGGAGTCCCGCAGATGGAGAGTCCAAGATTCTTCAACGAGATTTTTCCGTATGAACAAAGCGACCTTTCCTGGGTTCCCGATGGATAAGTCTTCTGCCATTGCTTTTCCCCTTGGTTATTGCAACTTCTAGGCTCGGGTTTGCAAAACAAATAGCACTATTTGTTGATTCTGCTCCAATTCATGGCCTTGTCTGTGTAGGATGGATGTGGATCCCATTTCTCTTGCTACAGGCTTGCTGTTCATGTAGGTGCTTACATAAAGTTTACTGATGATGCCAATCGTGAGTACTGCGATGCATGTAACATTCCTATAAATTAGTACTGATTTATAGTGTCTTTTAGCAATGGCAAAAAACATTAATGACCTATGGCAAAAGTCACCTTTGAAGAGTGTCCACCTACCAATTTTCCCTTTAAGAACTAGATGGGGATACTATAATCAACACCCTTGCAGTCTCAACCCCTTGCCATTCAGGGAAATACAAAAGAACACAACACAAAAGTCCACATCGGATCAGACTTAGCACAAAAAACCACTGCCAATGAGACACAAACTACTTCTGTCAACGACGGAAAACATAATTAAAAAAGCAGCAGCATGTATCATACATTCATACTCCTAAAACAAATTGCACGGTCAAAAACAGAGGCAGCTTGCTATCAGGCGGGGAAAAAAAACCATGTGCTGACACATAGAGAGACAACCGAATGACATTTAGTTTTTCCCTAAATTAATACTCTCCATATCAAAAAAGTATAAAGTATAAACCCTTTGTTATACTATGTATCTAGATACAGCGTATATTGAGGTGCATCCTAAAAATATATGTATTTAGAAAAGTCAAAACTATTTATAGTTTGAAATGAAGGGAGTAGGTAGGAAGCGAAAGCGAAGGGATGTAATGGAACATATTCTAGACAGTTAATTGCTACGATGATTCCTGGACTTGACCCAACAGAAATCCCAACAACGACAGGATGCAAAGACTTGCAGTATGTCCAAGTCAATGCACACACAAGGATAGGACCTGGTCTGGAGTCTCTGGACCTCCAAGTCAATGCACACACAAGGATAGGACCTGGTCTGGAGTCTCTGGACCTCCAAGTCAATGCACGCACAAGGATAGGACCTGGTCTGGAGTCTCTGGACCTCCAAGTCAATGCACACACAAGGATAGGACCTGGTCTGGAGTCTCTGGACCTCCAAGTCAATGCACACACAAGGATAGGACCTGGTCTGGAGTCTCTGGACCTCCAAGTCAATGCACGCACAAGGATAGGACCTGGTCTGGAGTCTCTGGACCTCCAAGTCAATGCACACACAAGGATAGGACCTGGTCTGGAGTCTCTGGACCTCCAAGTCAATGCACACACAAGGATAGGACCTGGTCTGGAGTCTCTGGACCATACAATTGCCCAGCCATCTTGATGCTCCGCATGGAGTTCGCATACATAAATCCTTTGTCCTTCCTCAAACTCTGAGGCATAGAAGGCAAGTGCTCGACTGAGTTCAGTTCAGACAGCTCTTCCAAATCATGCCGCTGCATAGATTAGCTGTGCATCAGCTATGGTTTGGCATAGTGGTTGTAGTAACACTCTCTATCGTAGCCATAGGAGCACTGCCACCGCCTAGGCCTAGCAGCAGTTGCCAGAGAACATGCGGCGGAGTCGACATCCCTTACCCATTCGGCATCGGGCCAGACGACTCGCCCGACCACTGCTCCTTGCCCCGCTTCAACCTGAGCTGCAAGGACAACGTCTATGGAGTCCTCAGGCCATTTCATAAAGATGTGGAGATTCTGGACATCTTGCTGCAGCAAGGTCAGGCCAGGATGAGGATGGACATGTCGACTTACTGCTACAACACGTCCACTAAGGACATGCGCTACCATATATGGACTCTGAACCTGACAGGTACACCCTACAGATTCTCCGACACCGGCAACCTGTTCACAGTCGTTGGGTGCAGAACGCTGGCATACATTGGAGATGAGGACAACGTTGGCAAGTACATGAGCGGCTGCGTGTCCATGTGCCGGCGAGGCGACGTGAGCTCCCTCTCCAATGGCTCCTGCTCCGGGATCGGCTGCTGCACAACAGCCATCCCCAAGGGCCTGCAGTACTACCAGGTGTGGTTTGATCAAGGCTTCAACACATCGGAGATCTACAACACCAGCCGCTGCAGCTATGCTGCGCTGGTTGAGGCATCCAGCTTCACGTTCTTGACGAGCTATGCTACGTCGTCGGCGTTCTTTGATGCTTACGGCGGGCAGCCGCCGTTGCTGGTGGACTGGGCTATCGGCAACGAAACATGCGAGGCAGCCAAGCAAAATCCTGGGTCGTACGCCTGTGTCGACAACCGGAGCGAGTGCTTCAACTCGGCCAACGGGCCAGGCTACATCTGCAACTGCTCCAAAGGGTTCCAGGGGAATCCGTACCTTGTCGACGGATGCAAAGGTAACAAATCTGTGTATACATCTACCTGTTACAGTTATCATTTTCACATGATTATTTACTCCTCCGATCCCAAATATATAAGAACAACTTACAATTTGTAACTGAGAGAATATATCTGGTCTTCGTGGAGACTCCAGATGCACACTAATCAATACAATAGACTTGTCACGAGTCCTAACTATAGCAGTGATTGATGGGCACGCTTTAATTATTACTGAATAAGTCCAAATGGGTTTATATTAATTTGCAAGATTGAAGGGATTAGTTAGTGATCAGTGAGATGGAAGAGATTCCTATTACAAGCTGATACCCAATTATGGGATGCATGTTAATTAAACTAGCAGTAGTAGGATTTTACCAGAAAAATTATCAAAACTAAGTCTGTTGCAAGTGACCTGAAACTGGAGTTGCTGAATTCATGAAATGTTTTTATGTCCTAGAAATAATATATTTCCACCATAATGCAATTGTTTACTCAACACTTTATATGCCACTTCTAACATTGCAGATGTTGACGAATGTAATGACGATCCGGCAAAGTACCCTTGCTCTGTGAAGGGAACTTGCAAGAATACTCCAGGTGGATATGAGTGCATTTGCCCTCCACATTACCCCAAAGGCAATGCTTACAATGGCACATGTGAGAAAGACCAAACGATTCCCCCTAAAGTCACAATACCAATAGGTACTACCCATATCTTTTTCAATTCATTTATAGTTTTGAGAGCATGATTGAAAAAGAAATCTATACTCATGCATGGTGTCCACTTCGAGCAGCAACTGAATGACAGAGCCGCATATAATTTAGTCAAAGTGCATACCAATTTTGTCTCAGTCAATTGTTCCAACCATGGAGTATTTTCAAAACAATTTTTGTAGCCTACTGCCGACTTACAAGTCACATGCATGTCTGATTTGCAGGAATTTTTGCTTTAGTTTTGGTTGGCCTACTACTTTTCCTTGGTAAAGAATGGATCAAGCACAAACGACGAATAGTAAGACAAGAATACTTAAGCAAAATGAATGAATGTTTTCAGCAGAATGGAGGCCAACTGCTAATGGATATGATGAAAGTAGAGAGCAACATTTCATTTCAGTTGTATGACCGAGAAGAAATTGAGTTGGCCACCAACAACTTTCACAGCAGCTCAGTCATCGGAGAAGGTGGTCAGGGAACTGTTTATATAGGGCAAAATCTTGATGAAAAAAATAATCCTGTTGCAATCAAGATCTGCAAGGGATATGATGAGAGTAGGAGAATGGAATTTGGTAAGGAGCTGCTTATACTCTCTCGAGTAAAACATGAAAACATTGTCCAGCTTCTAGGTTGCAGCTTGCAGTTTGAAGCCCCAGTTCTGGTGTATGAATACGTACCGAATCAAACATTGCACTATCTAATTCACAGCCAAGATGATGCGTCCATCAGAACTCTCAAGGTCCGTCTAAAAATTGCCAGTGAGATTGCGTCTGCACTTGCATACCTACATTCACTTAATCACCCGGTCTTCCATGGAGATGTTAAGTCTGTCAACATTCTACTAAGCCATGACCTCTCAGCAAAAGTTTCTGATTTTGGATGCTCAATGATTAGGTCCGGAAATGAAACCGCCCAAGTAGTGAAGGGCACAATGGGCTACTTAGATCCAGAGTATCTGATGAATTTTGAGCTTACTGATAAGAGCGATGTTTACAGCTTCGGTGTTGTTCTTCTGGAGCTCCTAACACGTAGGACGGCACTGTCCAAAACAAAGGAGTGCCTTGTATCTATCTTCATGGAAGCTGTGAAGGAGGACAAGCTTTGGGATCTCATAGATAGGGAGATAGCCAACCAAGAAAACATGGATATAGTACTTCAGGTGGCTGCGGTGGCAAGTCAATGCTTGGTCATTACTGGTGAACACAGGCCAACGATGAGCCAGATTGCGGAGGAGCTCCACCAATTGGCCGGTCCAATCCCACACAACTCTCGAGCATTTCACGGTGTTATTAGCATGCACATGTTGCGGGGACGGTCATCGAACAATACATCGGATTACAGTACTAGTGAAGAAATCACAACCTACTACAATCTTCAGAAGAAAGCCTCAATGAGCATAGAGTTTGCAAGATGAAATAAAAAAAAGCATCCATGCATCGATATTTATTGCCGCATTGCAGACATAGTAATTGACTTGTACTACGTCTTATGTAGGTTCTGATGATGTATTCTGCAGATATGATGAAGCTATCATAACTGAGTTTAATTTGTCAAAATGTGTTATGGTGATTTTTTTGTGTGAGTTTTCTTTAACAAACATATAGAGATGCACAAGTGTAATGAAAAATATAATGAAACTTCTGTGGGTTCCATTAGTATTTCACCGTTGCCGCATGTCATTTTTTATTATTATTATCACGCGGTCTATAGGACCTTTCATTCATTTCTGTAGACTTCGCAAAATCGCGAGCCACCAATTCGGAGAGGGTACGCCTAAACAATGACCTGACCCCAAGTCCCAACTCAAGGCTAAACTAGCCAAAGCATGCGCAAGCGAATTGCAAGAACGTGGAACATATAAAATAGACGAACAGACAAGCTGTTCATGAAGGAGAGCACGCAAATCATGGAACAGCATCCCACCCGTTGCTAGATCAAAAGATGTAGACTTGAGCGCTTCTTGCAGGTTAGTAGAGTCTGTTTCTAGTTGAAAATGGGAAATCCCGTGATCAGGTGCCGCTGTGAGGGACATTCTGCATCCCAATGTCTCGGCCATCACTGACTCCAATCTGCCAGCTCCAGCTTGCACCCCTTCACCCTCATGGTCCCTGATGATAAAGCCCCAGCCCCCAGGCACCTGGCCTTGCTTGTATCGTGCAGATACGCAGCAAGTATTGATTTTTGAGCTTGCCTTGCGGGGGCGGTCTCCATGTCTTCTCCTTCGTGCACTCTCTTGAAATCTGCATGATCACTCCTTCACTCTGATCACCAAGGAGTGTATATACAGTTCGATCTGGCCACGTCCCCACTCGTCTGCAATTTCTCCCCTGCATTGACTTTATTTCTCACATCCCGCCACTTCCGTAACAAGGTCACTGTCTTGATGCAGACTTCTTTCTTCGGTTCAGCGGTTGTCTCACCACTTCCTGGACTGATGTTGCTGATAGTTGATAGCAGATGTTGTCGGACATGCTCCAGTTGTATGGGTCTATTTGATTTAAGGGCTAATCGCTAGCTAGCTCAAAATTAGTCCAAATTAGCTTTAGTGTATCTAAATGGGAGGGCTAATAGGAGCTATTTTTTAAACAATTTTTCAACTAGTGGTTAGCCAACTATAGTTTATTTGGACTAATTTCTAGTCTATCTAGTAACTAGCCATGTGTATGTCAAGCCAACAACGTCTCGTTTCTTTGTATTTGACGAAGCAAAAGCGCACTGCGCATGTCATATTTACTACTTTTGGATAGCCCGCTCCCGTCCGCCTTCGCCCTGACCTTGTCCGCCTTCGTCCTGCCCCACGCGCGCACTTCACCCTGTCTCTGCGCCCGTCGGTCGCCCCTGAACCCCTCCTCTCTCTTCACGCGGGAGCCGGGGATGAGCAGCTGAGGACAAGCATGCCCCCAGCACACCCCGACTGCAGCACCACCGTCCGCCAGCCCCCAGCAGCTTCGTCCCTCGGCCCCCCGGCACGCAGCGCGCCCAGTCCGCTCGCCCCTGACTGTACAGCATAAAACACTTGCAACATGAAAAACATTTTAATGCAACATACGTCTGAAAGTAGATGAAATATTTGGAACATGCACTTGCAACATGTGTGAAACAAACGAAACATCCAGATTTGCAACTTGCAACATGAAAACCATTTGCTGTAACATAAGACTGAAACAGCTGAAACATTTGGAATATACTGTTGCAACATATATGTGAAACATATGCAACATCCAGATAAAAAAAGATTTCAACAGACATCAAGAAATAGATGAAATATTTTGAATAGACGCTTGCAATATGCCTCTCAAATACTTGCACATGTGTCACATCCCCCGATCTACTTTTACAACATCAAGAATAATTGCAATATACATCTAAAACGTCTGAAACACTCGAAACATACATATGCAACATAGGGGAGCGAAAATCGGGCCTGTCGATTCCGATCGTCGGGTTGGGAGTCGGCGGCGAGCCGCGGGGCGCGAGCACCACCGGCACCAGCCACGCTCGTGGGTGCCCTTGGCTTGGCCGGAAAGACCTGAGGCGCCACAGCACGTGTGCCCCAGCGGCCATGGCGGCGGCAGCGGCGCGGCCAATGGCAATGGGCGACGGATGAACGGCGAGGGAGCGAGTGACGCAGGTGAGCGGCGTAGGGAGCGAGGGCGTGCGACGCGGCGGGTGATGGGAGAAAGGGCACGGTGCGGCAGCCTGACGAGCCCGCGCTAGGGAAAGGGGCGGACGGATGAGCAGCCATGGTGAGCGACGCAGGTGGCTGCCATGTAGGTGAGCGGTGCGGGGAGCGAGGCGTGCGGCGCGGCCGGTGACGGGGAAAGGAAGCGGTGCGGCGCGGCCGGCGATGGGGAAAGGAAGCGGGGCTGCTGCCGACAAAGCGCGCGCGGGAGAAGGGGTGGATGGATGGGCACAAGAAAATGTAGATTTGCTTTTTTTTTGGGGCCCACTCGTCCGGATGCAGTATTTCCGTTTTGGATAGTGTCACGCGGTATTTTTAAGTTTTGTCCAAATATACCGGGGAAAGGCAGGCCCGGCCCATGGTTCTTGTAGGGCTGGACTTGGACGTAGGAACACGAATCTGAACAAATTCACACCAGCCCAAAATAGTTTTTCGAAGTTATAGTACTTTTCAACTGGCACATATGGTCCGATCCAAAACCAGCCTTACCCTGCCAGCGAACGTTGCTAGACGGCCTGAAAAGTTTCGTGCTTTTTTAGGCCTAGCCCACAAGATGCTGTTGTACTGTATCCACGGCGCGAGCACATGTGTTTTCCGCCGGGAAGCACTGGGACAGTCCAGCCTGTCATGATAGCTGTCCACTGTCCTCCGTCCACACGGAGCGGACGTAGCAGTTTATTTTCTCCATTTCTTCAGCGTTCCAAAGAATTTTTCCTGCGTTTTCAAAATTTCTTGGACGAAATGAAGCAAAGGAAGGACGCCATCAGTCGAGCAAAAGCTGGTCGGCAGGAAGTTAAGAAAAGTTTGAGCAATGCCTATCTTCTCCCTATTCCCTTTTTGTCTAATTGTCCGCGGCCAAAGAAAATATTGGAGCACGCTATCCCAGCCAGTCAACGAGGCATTTTTTTTTGGAAAAGCTAACTTACGAGCGCGCACGCGATCGAGCTCCAGCACGCACACCCCTATGGCCGTCCGATTCGCGCCCGCATCTTCTTCCTCACTGCGCCCGTGCCCGCACCGCCGCCCTTCTTCTTCAACTCCGGCGGGGTATAGAAGGGACGGCCAGGGGGAGGCAGGTAGGCCAGGCGGTGGGGAAGGTCGACGGACGGTTTAGGGGAGCTGGCAACGCTCGGGGCAGGGGCGCCATGGCCGGAGTTCGTCGGAGCTCGCCGGAGTTCACCACAACAGCAAGAGGGAGGGGCGGGAGGGAGGGGGAGGGGAAGGAGGAGGTCGCCAGCCGTGTAGGGTCTCGCCGAGCTCGATGAGACCCTACTACTTGGGCCAAGGGCAATGGGTGGCTGGGCGGTGGGAGGTGCTGGAGGCGGGGGCTTGCCGGATCTAGAGGCTGGGGCACTCGCGTGGGCGGGGGTGGTGTGGGAGGCAGGTCACCGACGTGGGAGAAGAAGGCTGGAGCAGGGGAAGAAGAAGAAGAAGAAGATGCGGGGGACGGGGAGAAGATGGTGTGGGGGGGAAGATGCGGGTTGGGGGGAGAAGAAGGTGGGGGGAGGGGGAGATGCGAGTTTTGGCTGCGACGTGAGCACATTTTTTTTTTTTGGTCCAGAAACGCTGGGACAATTAAGGGCATTTTATCTCTTTTTTTTAGTTTATTAGGAACGTCGTACTATTATAGGAGATCGATGTTAAGTGACTTGCAAGGGTTTATGTGCTAGAAATGTCAACCTTAAGTGTGCTTACTGTCCAATGGCAGAAAATTCTAGCTAGAGTAAAAAATTCCGAGCCCTGGCGTTTGAGGGCTGAAAATTCCAAGAGAATTTCCAAACAGGAGCGTTAGGTTCGGATTTATTTTTCCTAGCTGGCTAGAAATTATAAGCTTGACTGGAGTTTTTAAGATCTGTCTGTTTCTTCATGTGTTAACTTTGTAGATTTAGTTCTAACTTTCATATCTCAAAAATTCTAATGCAGACTGCAATTTCCAAGAAACGTCTGTCCTTGAGATAGGGGTATTTCACTTTCTGCTCTCCCTCTTCATTTGAGATTTCTTTGAGTGATTGGAGTTGGGAAAATAGAGATAGTCTCCTAGAGAGCTAACTTTAATTCTTGAGCACTAGAGGGCCGTTAGGTGGATGGATTTCGATTTATTACTCTTTGATTCTCTTTGAATCTTAGATGGTTAGTTAGGCAACATCCATTGACACTACTACACAGAAACTTTCACAAGATGTTTGCCTTTTGGGCTCGGAGGCGGGCGGGCTGGTTGCCCGCCTCCGATATTCGGTGGCAGGACAGCCAGCCCAGCAACCGTCTCGGTTAATCATTAACGGAGGCGGACAGCCTTAGGCGCCTGTCTCGGTTAATATCGATTAACCGAGGTGGTTAACATAACGCAACCGTCTCCGTTAATATATTAACCGAGGCGGTCGCCTTAAATCAACCGCCTCGGTAAATATATTTTCAGAGGCGGGCACACTATAAGGCCCGCCTTCAAAAATAGTGGCCCAGCTCCCAGGCCAGAAAAAGCCCATCTCTACCTTTCTACCGGGCTCATAAATAAGCAGGACTTGGTTAACCCTAGCCTCACATCGCCCCTCCCCTCCCAGCGCCCCTCATCCCCTCACGACCCGATAGAAGGCAGCGCCCCTCCCCTCCTGACCCGAGTGCAGCGCCCCTCTCCCAAACAGTGCCTGTCGACGAAATATGGTCGGCAGTCCACCGAGGGGGGTGCCCGTGGTGGTAGATTATCGGTAGACGGTGCGTGTAATAAGGAACCAGAT